TAAATGTTTTTTTATATTTAAAAATCTGTCTGATACTAAAAATCTATTATATTATAAAATTCGTTATATAAAAATTTGTTGTAAAAAGTGTTGACTGTATTTTAATACAAATGAATTAAGTGTATTTATTATTTAAATTATATAAAATTCAATGTTAATGAATATATACAATTACTTTTGGATTATTTATATCAGTTTAATTCAAATAATATAACTGAGATTGAAGAATTTGATTTTATTTTTAATGATGATGATGATAATAAAAATTTGTTGATATAATATAATATGATAATTTATTCAATAGTAATTAGCTAATAATTGATTAAATTATTATATAAGTATATAATATGATGCATTAATATTCGTCAAATAAAAATTAGTAATTTTCAAATTCTAATAATTTTTTAAAATTTTATACTAATTTGAAAAAGTAAATTTATAAAATTATAATTTAAGATTTCTTTTTTATCCTATCAGATTACTTTTTTTCTAGTTATTATAATTTAAAAGTTATTACCTTTATAAATTAAAGAATTTTAATATAAGTTATATATAAAATAAATGAAATTTAAGATCATCTATTATATGATTTAGTATAAGCCAATCAGATTAATTACATGAGAATCAACATTAATATTAAATAAGAATTAATTATTACTTTATTTAATAAAGATCATCATAAAAAATTTTTCAGATTGCTATAATATTCTGATAGATCTATTTAATTAAATTAAATTAACATTTAATTGGTTAACTTTTATTATTTATTATTTGTTAAATAATCAAAATTAACCAATCATGTGATTTCTATTGACTGATTCTAAAAAGAAATGGTAGTGACTTCAATAGAAATTTTAATTGCTATATTATAAATGATTAGTAATGTATATCTGAAATATGTATCTGATATTATGTATATAATGGTTAACTATCACTTGATATTTATTTATCTTAATGACTTAGTTTTTTATAAATACTTCAAATCTTATTTATTTGTCACTCATATGCTACAAACTGACAAAATTTGAATATATATCAGCAATATAAATTTATAATATTCATATTTATAAATTCTTCTTTAATTATTAGAATTTTTCAATTACACTTGGATCTCTATATAGTTATACTTTATATAAGCACTATATATATATTTATAACAATTACACCTCTATATAATCACCATTTTTAGATGAACTAATTGTATGACTATATAGAGGTCTGACTGTAAATTATAAAATTTGAAATTTAAAATTAAATAAATGAACAAATATTTATTATAAATCAGGTGGTATCTTTATTATCTGATAGACAGTTATTTTTTTTTGATCTAAGAACACAACTATTGATCTCTTCCATTAACGTTTCTTGCTTTTTGATCTTTTCCTATAATTAGGCAAGCACAAAAAAATAAGTTAATGAATATCAAATACAGTCAACCCTCTCTAAATACACCTTTTCTAAATACACACACTATATATTTTCTCTCTAAATGTACTCTCTCATTCAGTTCCAAGCATATAGAATTCATATAGAAATTTTCTCTTTAAATGTACACCCTTTTTAAATGCATATTTTTTTAAAATTTCATTATGGTCCTGAGGGGTGCATTTAAAGAGGGTTGACTGTATATTATTTACAAGTTGATTTATACACATACGTGGAATATTACCATTATTCTTAGTATAGATATATACTGATTTCTACTATTGAAACTGAATAGAATAATAATAAAAGCTAGCTCAGTTGCAAGAAAACGTCAATCAGAAAGTATATTTAAGATATATAGTTTTTACAGAAGAGTGTTATTAATAGCATTAGGTTCAAAAGATTTGTATAGAGAGCTTTTTTACATCATTTATGATTTGAACGTCAGAGGCATTATCTGAAAGACCAGAAACTTTCATGTGTCATATATTAAGACTATTTGAATGTCTTGTTACCTTTGCGTCAACCTGCACAATTTCTAAGAATGTCAATAATTTTATCATTTTCGCAACATGAACGTGTGACTTAATCTAATCAAAATAGACATATATAAAGGTGTCTTATAAACTTAAAGAATGACATTACAAGGTAGATGATGTACTTGCGTTCACCAATATTCTGAACAGCAATTCCAAATTAGATTTCTCTTTTCAGTAATTGTGCAGAATTTATTCTACTATAATAGCATTTGAGTTAGTCATAAGATACTCCCTATCAAGATGACTAGTGATTCAGCGATTTAAATAGCTTTAAAAGTAATTAACGTCGAAACTATTTATTTGTATTTGCAATTGAAGTGTAACAAATGATATACTTTTAGGCAAATCTGTATCATGATTCAAATCTAACCTAGGTCTATCTAGTAAAGCATTGTCGCAATATTCATTGATATGTTTAGCAAGTTCAGCATTCTTCACATTTATCTTTTCATCAAGCTCTAAAAGAATCTTATACAGGTATTCCTTTTCATCTTGTATTTTGAAAGGTCGCTTCGCTAAAAATAATATTAATGTTATTAAATCTATAATTTAACTCTAAATCATAAGTTTTACTTATCAAATCACACTCTTTGATAATATTTACCTAATATGTTTTTAAGTTATTGTTAATCATATGACATTGATATTCTAAATTTATCTATTACAAAAGGAAATGTTAGTAGAATCATCAGAATTTTTTATTTAGTAATATTGGAAGAAGCATATCCGATTTTTCCTCTGAATCAGCAGACCTTTACTAATAACAAAGTTAGGATGCCTGAATAGATGTCCTTGGAATGGTTACCAATTAGTCAATTCTAGTAATTTTTCTGAGTCAATGGGCATGTTGCTCTTCAACTTAGGAGTTATCCTCCCTTTGCAAAACAAAAAAAATTTACATTCAAATCCTGCTTTTGCTTTTTTGCTTATAAAATTTGTAGTTCAAAAATTGTCAAGGTCCAGCCAATTTGAAGAGGATGTTGTTGATGATATTAACCATTTTACAATACTTTGTCTATAAAGTAATAGAAATCCACAATATATTTATTTTTATGATTCTTTATATAGGAAATAAGGTTAGCCATAACTCTAGCAGACCCAGCTTGTTGTAAAATTTCAGCTCCACACCTGTTCTGACTTCTTGGTTTCGTGAAAGAAAAGAAAAGAGATATAAGTTTTCTGGTTGATCCATCCCTAATGGTAAATTTGTATAACAACTATTATTTATTATTTCTTAAAACTTTTATTTTCAGGGGGAAGGGGGTAAAATAACTGTGGCTTCAGTCCCTATTTATAGTCGTACAACCTATTTATTTCGCCCCATAATGACGTCACGCGATTATAACTTAAACGGATATCCCTTCTTTGTATTTTCAATTTTCACTGTTTGTTTTTTTTTTAGTTTTTTTATTTTTTTTTTTATTTTTGTGGATTAAGTTAAAAGGAAGAAAAAACAAAAAAAAAAAAATAAAACAAAAAAAAATGGTAAATTCAGTTGTTATATAAGGGCAAATTTTTTAATAATATTAATTTATTTGATACGATTATTTAATACAGGATTCTACTCAAGAACGTGATGTTAATAAAGAAAACAATGCATTTCTCTTAACCAAGTGAGTTTTTAAAAATCGAGAAATTATATCATTAACTTGGAACTGATATTTTCATGTTTATTTGTTGATTTTTTCACATTGTCTCAAGAAAATCAGAGTCTCACAAATTATCTATGAAGGATTTTAAAGTTAGTCATGAGATCGGAAAGGGTAAATACGGACGCGTACATTTAGCAACAGACAAATCGAGTGGATATATCGTTGCTCTAAAGATGCTATTGAAACAAGAGTTAAATCATAATAAACTCTTACAACAGTTAGAACGCGAAGTTGAAATTCAAGGAAATCTCAAGTAAGATATTCATTTCTTTCGATTCTCTTTATTTAATACTTATTGAAATATATATAAATAAATAAATATATATATATATATTTTTAGTCATTCTAATATCCTTAAATTATATGGATATTTTCAAGATGAAAAACGAGTAGTTATGGTTTTGGAATGGGCTCCTTTCGGAACTTTGTACTCTCAACTAAAAAGACATAAACGATTTGCTGAAAAACAAGCGTCAAGAGTATATATATTTAATAAATAGTTATATGATATATATATATATATTTGTATGAGATATTTTATAAAATTAATTTTCAAATTCATTGTTTAGTATATCGCACAGATCGCTAATGCGTTAAAGTACATTCACGAAAATCACATAGTTCATCGAGATTTAAAACCAGAGAATTTGTTAATCGATAAACAAGGAGACCTCAAATTAGCAGATTTTGGATGGGCTACTTATGTACAAGATTTTAAGAGGTAAATTGTTTTTTTTCTAAGGAATTTTCTAATATCATTTATTTCACAATACTTGTAATAATTCATTCCTTACATACAGTTCATCACTTAGAACTATTTGTGGTACTTTGGATTATCTCGCACCTGAAATGGCTAAACGTCAGTCTTATAACGAGAAGGTGGATGTGTGGGCACTTGGGATAATATGTTATGAATTATTGGTTGGTACTCCTCCATTTGAATCAATAGGTTTCCATCCGACAATCAATAGGATTATATTCGATGAAGTAATGATCCCGGATTATTTATCGAGAGAAGCGAGTGATTTAATCACAAGGGTAATAATTTAATTTATTTTTAATTTATTATTATTATTATGATTATTATTCTTTTTTTTTTGTTATTAATCCATTAACATGAAATTATTATTAAAAATATAATATAATTTTAACATAATCTAGTTATTACAAAAGAACCCTGAGAAACGTCCTTCAATGGAACAAGTTTTAAATCATCCGTGGATCCGTATTTATAAGAGCTCAACATCTCAAAGTAAAACGCAGCAAAATTTACCTGCTAGATTCACAAAAATGAAGTTCTCCAAGATTAATTAAGTAAACCATTTAAAATTAAATAGTAATAAACTAAGAGAAAGAGACAAAAAGAAATTAATAACCAAATATTTTAAACAATAAATATAATCATGAAATTATTTACCAATTGCCAGACACCTTTTGCATACTGCACAATCTCATTAGCACCCATTTTGCTTTCTCCATAAACACGATCCACGAAAGTAATAGGCACCTCACCAATAGTATACCCAAATTGTCTCGCACGGACCATCATTTCCATTTGAAAAACATACCCTTTGGAGATTACTACAGAAATGATTCTTTGAAGAACTTCTTTCTTGTACAATCTATGATTTATTTCTTGAATAAGAATTAAATTCCAACTTTAGGTATAAAATCTGAGGATGAAAAAGATAAAAATAAAAAAAACCTAAAGCTTCCTGTAAGGTCAGATACGCCTGGACGGAGGAGCGTTGATGCAAGAAAGTTGGCACCGCGACTTTAAATTAATTGGAATAAGGATTTGAAAAGGCTTTTGTACTTGGAAAGTCGAATATCATAATCTTACCTTATGATCTTGCGTTTAAGGTCCCATCCGTACACACCTCCATTGCTCGCATAACGCGTCCCGGTTACGATATCCAAATTTCGACTTTTCTGTAATCTAGAATTGAACGAAAAGGATTACTATCAACTAATAATAATAATAACAATAATTAATAATTTACCTAATCAATTCTGGAATGAACTTTGGCTAATAATAATAAAGAAAAGATTAAGTAAGATTGATTAGCTTATTCTTAACATATTAATAAAACTTACATGATGCGAAAAATCCGCGTCCATTATTATAACGAAATTACCTGTCACGAACTGAAGTCCATGAATATAGGCTGTTCCTAGACCAAGCTTACCGGTTCTTGGCTTCAGTTTCTTTTAATTTTGGAAGAAAGGAATTTAGGAATTTATATGAAATTCAACTTAAAAAGTATAAAAGTACTCACAATGCGGTCTTGATGATAAACATTTATAAGCTGCTTTGCAATTTCTTGCGTGCCATCTGGAGAGGCATCATCAACAATGATAATCTCCCAATCAAGGTCGCTAGAAAATGAATGAATTAATGAAAAAAAGTCCAATAAAAAAAAATTATATGCGATATACCGAGTAAAGACATACTTTTCTTTAAAAGTTTTAGCTAATAACCATACAATAATTGGTAAATTACCACGCTCATTATAGGTTGGAAGAATAACACTGTATTTGTTCTCTACTGAATCTGTTGCAACTTGAACCGAGGAATAAGTCATTGTCAAAAATATCCATTCATTAATTCGGTCAAATCGGATTTAAAATTATGAAAAGAAAAATCACATGGAATCTGTTAAGCATTTAGGCTAATTTTAGAACATATGCTGATCTCGAATTATTTTCATTTTTGTTTATGATGCGATAAAAAGTAATTGTTATTATATAAATATTTAAATTAATTAGTGGATTTTAATTAACTTATAATGTTATTTGATGTCCATAAAAGGAACAATCGGGTTTGGTTTCTTAGGTAAAGAGCCTTGTTGTAAAATTTGTAACAATGAGAGCCACAAAGGGGATTCATTATCTTTTTATATAATACGATGACAAGAAATTAATTTACTATAAAAGGTGGATAAAATTCGCTTATGTGGGTCATTTGGATTAGAACATCCCAAAAAAATTATTTTGTCTTTTTAAATATATATATATAGAGAGCCGGTATCTCTTAGTAATTCAAACCTTTCTCGTAGGTCTGTTCTATAAAAAATGGATCTCCATAAATTAATTTGCAGAATTCTACAAATTCTTTTTGCAATATTATTGCTTATCTATTTGATAATCAATACAATTATGGATATATCTCGGTCCAAAAATGTACATACAACAACTACAATTGAGAATGTTGAAGAACTTGTTCCACCAGCATTTTCATTATGTAGCAATGATATTGATTTTATATTTGACTGTAATGCCTATGGTGAAGACTTGGCAAATTGTAAAAATTTAGTGAGAAAGGTCGATGTTTCTAATGATGCGACTTATAATTCATGGTTTACCAAATGTGATGTCTTTCAAACTACGAAACCAATGCTTTTCTCCTCATCAAAAAGACAACCGAAAGATTGGTCATCTCATCATTCTCCTTTCTTCATCAAATATTTGTTTCGCAATGAATCTTCTTCACCGTCATCAAAAATTTCTTTCATGTTATGGAATCCATACGATTTACTTAATGACGCTGTATTATCCACCGAAGCAACTCCACAAATCCTAAATCCATATCGAATAATAAATATGGATGCTATGAGAGAAAGAGTTTACTCATTTTATTGGAGAAAGTACATCTTTCTTAATGGAACAGAGAAATTTAATTTGGATTTTCAACTTGAACTCGATGCATCTACAATTACATCCACCCCTCCAATTGGATTGGTGCATTTTAAACCCGCTTCATTCAGTATGGAAATCATTCGTGAACACTCTTGCTTTCCCACTTTCTCGGTATTCACCATGTTGATCGTTCTTTTAGCCGTCTTCAACATTTATTGGGGATTATTTAGTGGTAAAGGAAAGTATAAAACTTGGGGTCTCGCTCATGTCTTTACTAGTTATTATCCTCAACAGCATATACTTCCGATGGAAGACACTCAAGCATTAAAACCTACTGCTGACGATGTTCTAAGAGTTTATCTTCATGGCTTAGATAGAGCCGAATTCGAGAAAAGGTAAAATATTATAAATGGACAGTAAAGAAACAATTATTTTGTATATATTCAAAATTATAATAGTCAACCTTAATTCGATCAATAACATTTAAAATTAATAAATTGGTCAAACTTGACGTTTGAACGCAATTAAGTTTTTTTTTTTTTTTTCTTTCGTGCATGCAATCAAAAGCTCAATTAAAATATTTTTTAACTGATCTATCAAATGGAAAAGATTGCGCAGCAATTAAGGAAAATATCATTTAACTTATATTATAAATAATATTACGTCTTTATAAGAAACGAGATATTTCGTCATGAATTCAATTTGGTGCTTTGTTTTCTTTGACGTAATGTAAAATAATAGTAAAGTGATTGTTACACTAACCAATTACCCAGAGTTTTTTTTTTTATTTTGTTTGAATTTTGATCTACATTCCATTAAACAACATGCACATGTTCATACAACAGGTTTCGCTAAGCCAATCAAAATTATCTTCAATATAGTTCAATATAGTTTCATATTACTCTATGCGTTGAAACTTTTTTTTTAATTCCAATTCTCCTTTTACCGTTGAACTATGAATTCGTTGAAACATGAGCAAGCTGTTTCTGAGTTAGATTCTTCCGATCCAGCTGTTCGTGTAAAAGCTCTTCGTTTTATAAAGAATCACATCATCGGAAATAAAACGAAAAAAGATCTATACATTCGACTTCACGTCATTCCAAAGTAAGTAACTGTTTTGGTATTAAGCTTACTTCATGTATGTTAATTGACTTTTTTCCTGCTTGATAGGCTTGTAAAATTCTTTAAAGCAAAGGATACTGTTGACTCTCAAGTTCAAATACAAGCTGCGATCGTGTTGGGCAGCTTCGCATATGGTCTAATATATATATATATTTTTTTTATATATTTTCAGTCGTCAGTAATATCAATATCTAAATATGATTTTTATTAATAGGAGGCGAAGAAAATGTTACCGAAATAGTTAAACACGATGCAGTCAAGCCTTTGTTAGAATGTATCTCTTTACAAAATGATCCTCGTCTGATTGAAGCTGCTGCTAGGGCATTGAAAGCCATCTATAAATGTCCTACTGCAGATAAGAATGATATTTTCGTCGAAAATCATTTACGTGATCTTATTACTCTCCTTAATCCTGATGCCCTAAATCCTAAAACCGATCGTGAAAGGATTGCTTCAATACATACTGCCGAATTGGCTGCCACGATTATTGCTCGTTGTTGTGATACTAATGAGCAACAAATGCAGATAGCTAATGCTGGCGCTTTTCCAGCTTTGGTTAATTTACTCACTTGCGGGTTTTCTAAGGCTCAAGAGGCTGCGTTGGATGCTTTGGCTTACCTTTGTCGGGAAAATCCCGAATTTGGAAAAGCAATTGTAGAGACAAAATGTAGGATATTGTCAAAGGGGTGGAGATCATTATTTTCATGATTTATATTAATGAATGACATTCTTGTTTCCATTTTAGCCGAAACAAGCGATAGTCCGGTTAAAATCATGTTAAATTTGATTCTGGATAAATCACCAACTATGCGTTTAATAGCAGCAAAATGGTATAACTTTTTTTTTTTCCCTACATGTCTATTACTTTTGCTACTAAGTTATATAACAATCCTTTTTTTTTTTTTTTTATACAGCCTAACCCACCTAAGTCGTGCCAAGGCTATTGGAGAATATTCCGACGATGTCACTCTAATTGTATTGCCCACATTAGTAAAATTACTCGACGAAAAAGGTCCTGTTCGTGAGGAGGCACCTCATGTTTTGGCTTATTTGATTCGTGATAATGAAGAGTTACAAAAGGCCGCATGTGATTCAGATGCGGTCCCAAAATTGGCGGATTTCGTAACACATGTCGTGGATCAAGAAAGTTCATATTATGATCCCGTTGGTGATGGTGATAAATTAAAAGAAGTTGGTTGATATTTACTTAATACTTTCAATGTATTTTGTACCGTGAAAGTGATTTATTCAATCCTATTTTCAATAGAATGCTTTAATGGCTCTTGCAGCTATTAGTTCGTTGACGGATGATGGACGAAAGTTGGTTGTGGAGGCCAAGATTATTCCACATATCGTTGCTGCTATGTCACATCGTTCTTACGGAATTCGTGCTGCAGCATGCCAATGCACTCGAAGCCTGTCAAGATCGATTAATATATTACGGACAAGTCTTGTAGACGCCGGAATTGCAACACCTTTATTCAAAGTAAGACTTTCACGATATCTTTTGTATACAAATTTTCGTGAAAGATTATTCAGCTGACATTTTTTCGACAAAACGAAGCTTTTATCCGATGAATCAACGGACGTACAAACGACAGCTTGTGCGACTCTGTGTAATTTAGTATTAGATTTTTCTCCTATGAAAAGAGTGAGTATTTTTAATATCCATGAGTAATTCCAATTAATTTTTTGACTCGTTTTCCCTTTTTTTTTTTTTTTAAAAAAAAAAAAAAAGATGATTATGGAGCTGGGTGGAATAGAAAAGCTGGTTGAGTTAGTACATTCTCTGGATAATACATTAAGACTTAATGCGATATGGGCACTGAAGAATTTAGTATATCAGGCAGAATCAGAAATTAAGGAAGCAGTTATGAAAGTTTTAACATATCAAACCATGGAGAAGTAAGTATTGAAATTAGACCCTTTTATTACCTTACATTATTATACTGAAATTTCATTCTATAAACTTCACTTGTTATAATTCAAGTTTAATTTCCGATCAAGAAACTGATATACAAGAGCAGGCATTAAATTTGTTAAGGAATCTTGCATGCACAAGACAACATGTAAGTTTGTTACGACGATTACAATTATTCACAATCAGAGATCTTAACTGATCATTGGATTATTTAGGACATTGAAGAGGTCTTTAAAGGTTTGAGTGAAAGTCGCCTAATGAATGTTATAGAAAATAAATTGCACTGGTGGAATGAAGAAATTATTAAACAGGTAAAGTAATTAATGACGTTAACTTTTCACGATTTTATAGCATTCGGCAAATTATTTATTTGTATATGATAGGTACTTTATGTAATTAATAATATCGCAACGGGTAATGAACGTCATAAATCAGCCATTATGAATCGAGCCAACATATTAAAATATATATTAACCTACATGGGTCACACAAATCCAGAAATTCGGGTGGTAGCGATGTGGGTTGTAATAAATTTATCATGGATGGAAGATAAATCTGCCAGTACGTAGTTATTGAGTATGATTGGGTTACATATTTATTTGATATGCGATTCTAAAAAATTTTATTTTAATTTTTCAAGGTTCACAAGTTCGAGTTCAAAAGTTACGTGAAATGGGATTCGAAGAAAAAGTAAAAAGTATGACGAATGATGATAATCTAGACGTTCGTGAGAGAGTAAAAACTGCTTTAAATCAATTTTCGCAAGTATGAATGAATAAGTATTCAATTGTTGTATCGGTTAATGATAATACACATGCAAGATCTTTTTGTTATTAATTGTCAACCGAATGATTGAATACAAAAAAAAAAATATTTATTTACCTTGTAAGCAGGCCTTATACGAACAAGAATCAACACGAATTTACACACATCGACAGATTATTCATTAAAAACAAAATTTTGTTAGTAGTATATAGTATGTATGTTCATTTCATTTTTCAACCTAGTATTATTATTATTACCATGCATTATTTAGTCACATTTCTGTGACATCGAATATCTTTCTGAACATGGAATTATAAATTATATTACATAACTTAAAAAAAAAAATGTTTACTTAATTTTGAGAGTAAAAACAGAAATTTGTTGAGATAGAATCAATAAAAGAAGTATAAAAATTTCCGAAAACCTCAGAAAAGGTTTAAGCAAAGATTATGATGATATGCTAAGTTATAGGCATATTAATATATTAACAAATCTGAAAATATACAAGTTAAGATAACTTTGCGGCTTTATTGTAAAAATAAAGATCATGTTTCTCATCGTGGACGAAAAAACAAAAGTTTTTAGGACTACGTTTTTTATTAATTGAATAGCCAAAATTACATGAACTTTTTAGTGAATAAATGTAAATGGACTTTTTATAGCATACAAGCCCGATAGTAATATGTAAAGCTTTGGATCCGTAGTAATATTGTTTAGTCCGTGAGCTTTGTCCAACCGTTGATGAGATGTTATAATGTCTGAAATTGACATAGTTTTATTAGAAATTATATTTCTCAATAGAAAAAAATTTTTTCGATCGAGAATGAGAAGATGATCAGATGAAGTTTGACTAAGATGTTCTAACACAACTTTTCGTTTTCAGATTTAACAATTTTTTTGCAATTTAAGATCGATGATGGGAAGATTTCTAGAGAAGGAACTACCTTTACTTCGTTCCGGACTAATAAACAATGTATATATTAGATTTTATTATTCTGATGAATTCAAATGTTAAAAGTCACAAGCATGAATTTTATTATTAATTAAGCTACAGTATAATACAACAAGTGTAAATACTTTTTTTTTAAAAAAAAAAATGATAAGAAACTTGATCAGACCTAACGTTTAACTCGGGCAAACACAATTATTAAAAATGACTTACAAATTATCACATATTTAGCAGTAATATCTTCGGGCTTGACGTTTGAAAATTTGATGGAACAATAGTGACGTTCCTGAATATGCGTATTTCTCATTTTTTTTTCTATTACATTCCTCACTTTTGATTATAGATGTACTGTCACGAATATTCGTGACTCACAAATATTTGATCGAAATAAGAAAATATCATTTTTCAAAAAAAAAGCGTTCAGAAACTTAGAAAATTTGTTAGTTAGTAGGGTATTTTTTTACAACATTCTTCAGATACTGTCATGATTACTCACTTTGTCCTTGTTGTCCTCTACGAATTTCATTAATCTAATTACCGGTGCCCTTCTAAGGGCACAATTCCAGTGATGTGCACTTGGAAGATTGGAAGCATCATTCTCTAATAAATTCATTTGGATTAGCTTCCAATCAAATTTTATACTATTAAAAGAATAAAATACACATTTTTATAATCGTTCTTGTTGAAAATTAAGAGATCATTGGCTACGTTTAAGCATGATAACATCTTTCTTATCGAAATTTGTCATATTCTTTAAGAAACTAATGAGTGCATTTGTGGACTCTTTTTGTTTCCTATTTTCTTTTTTTGTTTCTTGTTTGGACAACATCTTAACTTTTTGGTCTATTGCTATAAAAAATATTAAAAATGTAAAAGGTGTTAAAACTAACAGTTATGATAAGAACTTAACAAAAGGCATTGAATTAGCAATTTATCAGAACTGATAAGAACTTAATATGCAATTCAAAGAAAATTGGAAGAAAAAAAATACTTTTATGGTTTAATGCTCTTCACATACCTTTTAGTTTGATATAATATATTTCACATAAGTGATATAAAAAACTTGCTATTTAATAGAAACAGAATGTCTTTAATAACGATACAAAAATATGAATCTTGACTCGCCTCATGTATGTTTCTTGACCCTCTTGCTAATCTTCTTGTAAAAACAATTGTTATTTATATAGTAATCAGCAAGAGGGTTAACTTTATACCACAAGAAAGATTAAATTCAATACTTTTGCAATAATGATTCTTCTTCATTTTCTTTATTATCTATGCAATGTCTAGCTTTATTATCATAGTAATAAAAAGAGTTCCTATTTTTTTCCTATTTTAGAATAAATTTTCTTTTGTGCTTAATCTAAAATAGATGCAAAGCTTTTTTTATATATTCTACAGGTAGTAGATTAGCTAAACTCATATGTTTTTTGTCACTTACTCACCCTACATATTGAAATTCATTAAATTTTTTCTCTTTATAAATTGTAACTAAGTATAGCTGAAGATAAATTTTTGACTGAGCAAGATAACCATATCATTTTTAATATAGTTTACAATCTATTATTACCTTTTGATCATCTTATTTATATATTTTAGTATATGATTTTAAAAAATATTCAGACTAAACCAATATTATATTCTTTTTTTTACGAAAATCATATAAAGGCGTATATAAAAAATAATAAAGAAAATCTTTTATCTAATACTTATATAAAATAAATAATTTTTTCTCATTGACTAAAAAACTTTTTTGTCTATTTAAATTTTAAAAAAAATAACTTGAGAAAAACTTAAACTTTTAAATTTGAAAAAAAATCATAAAAAAAAAGAATTCAATTTAACATGCTCTAATGCTCACAAAAGTATTCACTATCTGTTATGTAATGAGTCACATAAAGTATCTGATGAGAAAATATATTATTAAAAATATTACTGCAATCACAAGATTAAGCAAAGATAATCAAAATATGATGTATTTTTACATAAAAGTATTCGTTTTACTTGATAAAAATTCTAAACATAACATCAGCAATTTCAAAGATAAAAGGATGATTTACTTAATGAGAAAGTGATAACTGATATGCAGTATATAACTGATTAGAAAGAAAAAAAATAAAATAAAAAATAAAAATAAAATATATTAACTCACTTACTATAATATGATAAGATTAATATAACTTCAATCAAAAAAGTCAAGATCAATTGTAATCTTATCCTGATTATAAGACTAAATATAATGATAAAGATATAATAAGTCAAATGATCAGAAATGTTGATAAATTTTTGATGTTTAATTTTTTCGTAAAGAGTATTTAGAGAAAAAGAAGTCAGAAATTTTGGGTTGAGGTTAAGTATCATGCGAATAACAACTATCTGACAGAAAAAATGAACTTCATTAACTGACATAATCATTTGATATTAGTGATACTTACTAAATTGATAAGTTATTAACAACTCATAAATAACACAATAATTGGAAAAAAATTATCACTCAGAAAGCATGTTTTAATATTGAAGAATATCTCTTTTATTTCATCACAATAAGCGAACAGAGCAATCTAAATTTTAAGTTTATCATAGGCAAATTCTTCATCTATAAACTCTACTTACAGTAGAGATAGAGATAGTAAGAGGCTATAAAAAGTAATACTAAGATCCTATAACTATAGTACTTTAACATAAATGAGAAGCTTAAGACTTTTAGCAAAGATCTTATAAAGTAATCCAAATCTGATTTTACTATTTATAATTAAAAAACTCTCATCTGAATATCCTGATAAAAGAACTAAAGATCAAAACTAAATGAATAAACATATTGTTTATAAATTTTAGGATTATTTGCTAAAATTGCTATAATTGAAAATCAATGAATACAAAAAATTCTTATTATTAAAAATGAGCTTTTATTAAAAAAAATTGTTAAATTTTTTTTATTTTTAAATTTTTTTATATATAATTTTAATAGCCTATTTTTATCATTTTTTTTTTCTCAATTTTTTTTTCATATATATTATCATTTTTTTTTCTTAACTAATAGAATATATCAAATCAAATAATAAATTTATAATAAATATGCATACAAAATAAACATTTAATTTCAAGAAATAATGATAATAATCATTTATTTCTTCTATATGAGTGAGAATTAAAATTCACATTTTTTATTTTTTTTAAAATAATAAAAAATAAGACATAATATATTAAAAAAAAAATAATAAAAAAAATACACATACAGTATATATAAAAAATACTATATAAATTTTAAATAAATAATAAAAAATATACTCAATAACAATGCTAAGTATTCTGTGATTTTATTTATTAAACTTAGAAAAAAAAATTGAAAAAAATTTACTATGATGAAAAAAGAAAAAATGAAAAAAAAATAATTAATCAATTAATTAAACTGCAAAAAAAACAAATTAAATAAAAAAATATAAAAGACTTAATTAAATAGTTTTTTTATAAGTCTAAAAAAATTGTCAATTTTTTTTATCATAATAATGAAAAGAATTATAAATAATATCGATAAAAATTGATATGTTAAACTTTTTTTTATTTTACATTATGTAACTTTATATTATAAAAAAAAATAAAAATAAAATAAAAAGTAAACATTTTATTTTTATAATAAAAAAAAAGAAAAAAAAATCTAGATTTTTTTCATTTTTTTTAATTTTAATTTTT